CACAGACATACAAAGAAAGTCAACATAAACCTTTAAAGTAAAAGTAGGACTGACAGTAGTCTTTCTCTTTTATACTATTCTTTTTTCAAACCTTAATATAATGAACATATATTAAATTTATAACCAGGGAAGAAAAAAAGTCAATGTTTTCTTTAATTGCCAGATTTTCAGAGATTTCACAAAACCTCTTTTGTTGACATTCTACAAATGACGACATCAAATAATTTCTCAATAGTGTCTTCTGTGGTGACAGTTTATACGTCTGTGAGGCAGAATGTTAGTTTGTGGCTTGCTGATATATTTATGTGCTAATTGTTTTATACAAGTGTTTATATGTGAAATAATTTAACTATTTGGTAAATGGTAGGCATTTACAAATGATCAAACTCTCAAAACAGAGCCAGCCAGATTGCTCAGCAGGTAATGATGACGATTGCTGCCAAACCTGATGACCTATTCCTGTAACTCACGTGGTAGAAGGAAAGAACTGAGTGTGGCAAGTTGTAGTCTATGTCTACATATGGGCTCTGGCGCACAAATGCTCAAGACCAATACACACACAACATAATATATGATAGATAGATAAATATAATTTAAAAATACTTAAAGCAGGTAGCAATTCATCACTCCTGCTAAAAGTTCCATCAAAATACAGTTATGAGCATAAGAAACTAAATTTTCTGAACATAGAAACCAAATTTGACCTGCTCTCAAGGCCATACTTGGTTGCATAGTGAGTTCGAGTTGAGCTTGTCTACCTCAATTTCTGTCTCAAAAACAAAACAACAAAACTATTTGACTCCATTTTAAAACACACATTTAGATACCAACTTCAAACCACATTCTACAAGTACTTTATAAGTTTAATATTTATTTATTTTAAAGACTTCTATGTTTTGGCTTTATTATATGAGTGTTGTTTTGCCTGCACTTACATGTGTATACTATAGGTGTGCTTACTGTGTCCACGGAGGGCAAACGAGGGAACCGGATCCCCAGAACTGGAATTATGGACAGTTACGAGCCAGCATGTGTATGCTGCGAGTGCAAGCCAGGTTGTCTGGAAGAGTGGCGGTGCCCTTATCCATCTTTCCAGCCCTGTATGGGTTATATACATTAGTGATTGACTCCAGGTTGCAGATAATGCACAGGTGTCACACTAGGGAAAGAAATAAAAGCACTTCCCTTGGAGTCATTTAAGCAAGTCTGTGTCTGGATTTGAACTCTACTTCCTGCTCCCTGTGTCTTCTGTCCTGTGTCTCTGTTGCATAAGTCTGGATCTCTGCTGCCTGGAGGCTTTCTTGGTAATCTTTCCCTGTCTGTGTCTTCTGTCTATGTGTCTGTAGATTGCGTATGTGTGTTGTTTGAGCTATGTGTGTTTGTGCGTCTGTCCGTCACAAAGGACTTAACTCTATGCATGAACAGCATAAAAGCAGCACAGAGGAAGGCATGGGATACTTTGCACGTTCTCAACATGAGGGTCGCTCTTGGTAATCAGAAAACATGTTATTTCCGATGGTCTCTGGAACCTGCAATCACAAATTTATTTTATTGCTGCTTCATAACTATAATTTTGCTACGGAGCAGTTTCTCAGTTCCTAAAACCACCGCAAATAAGTGTTTTCCAATGGTCTCAACCCACAGATTGGCCTTGAACATCATCTTTTTAAAGGCAGGTTATACAAACAGTTGAATACACAGTAGAATGTCAGTCTTAAGTGACCTCAAGGTATATAATTAACCCTGGCTGTGAGGGCCAGCAAAAGTTCCATTCTCTTAGAAAGAGATATTTTCATATTACATCACTACACAACCCAAACTTAATGAATAATGTACAGAATGCTTGCAACTAACATTTCTTGTTATATTTACACAAACCTGCACCTCTCGATTCTTTTCTATATATAAATACCCCAAGTAATTTTTCCACATAATTTTGAAAATTGCGTTAATATTTCTTGAATTTCTTCAAGTACAGAAGAGATTTTTAGGGAGTGAATCTGAACAAAATCCAGTGATAAACCTGTATGTCATAAGTGATTATCTTGTATGCTAAATAAGAGTCCAAAAAATAAGTCCCTGGTTATTAATAAACAGCATCAGCATAATTCTCATCTATTGTTATGAAAATACAGATTTATAAAGCCTTTGGGGTATGTGTTTGCATATAAGTATATGTGCAGGCATGTGTACAGATGCCAGAGATGACAGTGTTTTCTCGAAAAACTTCCCACTTTATATTTCAAGGCTGAATCTAGAGCTCACAATTCAGTTAGTCAGGTCAGCCTTCTTGCTCTGGAATCCAGAGCTCTGCCTCCCGCACACTGGGATCACAGGCAGGCTGGTACTTCCACTCAGCTTGTTACTGGGAGCTTGGTACTGGATCCAAGCCCTGGTGCTCATGCTTGTAAGGCAAGAGTTTTACCCACCACATCATCTCTCCAGCCCGTAACATTTCTGACATCTCAGGCACTTGCTATTTCAGGAAGGTTTAGAGGAACCCAATGACCTTTTATTTGAGGTGTTGTTAGGTATCGTTTGTCCCGGTGCTCTTCAAGGTTACCAGAATTGAAGGCTTGACTGCTGAGGTAGTTTTCAAAACCCCTGATATCAAAACAAAAACAAGGCACCGGTGTTTTCTATGTCTGAAGCAGCTCCTAACCTGCCTTCCTCCTCTTTTTCAGATACTAGTTTCCCCTTCAAATGGTCGAACACATTTTCAGTAGACTTTTTGTCTTCGTTTTCCTGGATTATAGTGACAAAGTCCTTTGTTGGTAGCCACAAACATCTGACACGGGTGAACAATCTACCAAAGAGCATAGAAAGGATTACACAGAGTCGGCGGCATTCACACATATGAATATGTTCAGTGTGAGGGTTAACACTAATCCAGTTGTTTGACTTTTTCATGATTCTTATGGACTAGTTTCAAAGCATGACCTCAGCAGGCATTGTAATACACAGACTTATAAACTTTAAAGCTGTGATGTGCCTTTTTTTTTTTTTTAATAATGTGATTGAAGGCAAAGGCTGAGTGGCTTCTAAGCATGAAGCCTAGATGGCAGTAGACACGCCTGGTCTCCTGCAGGCACAAGGCCAGTCTCTGGGCTCCCTGCTCCCGCCTCCAGGGGGCGCCGCGGAATGAGGAGCCTAGCCGAGCGGCGCTGAGTCTGTGCACCCCTTTCGCGTGATCTCCAGCCCTGCCTTGGAGGGAGTGCAGCAAACTGAGGCAGGGAGATCTGCGTGCCATCACGCAGGAACACTGCCAGCCTGACAGGAGGAGCACTCACTCGCTCCCGCCCGGCCCTGAGAGCGGAACGCACCTTCAGTACCGGAAGATCGTTCCCCCTGGGAAACAAGCCTGCCACTTCCGGACGCCTCCAATTTCTCTCCCAGGTAGAGCATCTCACTAGTTAAAAGGATATCTATCTGTTCCTTGTAAGGATCCATGCTACGTAAACTTGAAGTCGGTGGTCTCTCTCTCCCGTCCCTCCCACGTTCCTCTCTGCATCCCACTCTTACCCCCTCAGAATCCATGTAAGGCGTCTTTCCTTTTCCCACAGGCTATTATCATACTCCGCCCAAGCTGTGCCTTAGTTCTGCTCAGGGGAACCCCTATTTCTCTCCCTTTGGCCTGAGAAGCTTCCAGCACGGCTGGCAGAGGCTAACTAACGTCTCCTAGAGTCTTGACCCCAAGTCCTCCCTGGAAAACCGCATTGCCTCTCCCTCCCTCCCCTGAATCCTCAGGTCTTTATTGCAGTTTTGAACTGAAGGCGTCTACCTATTCCCGAAGCCCAAAATGCTCCTGAGAATTTTCCCCAATGTAAGACTCCACGGAGGCTGCTTCCGGTCTTTCTCCTTAGAACTCACTGTAAGCTTACAGCATGACCCGGGCTGTACCCATCATCCCTACCTTCGTGACCCTGCTCATACTGCCTATGCGCCGTGCCCAAAGGCTCCCCAGCTTTGCCATACATGACTCCTGAGGGGTTTCTAGGATGTAAGACTCCACCCTACCTAACTGTATGTGTGTTTTCTCTGGAGAGCCTACTGGCATGCCTTCAATAGGCCCCAGCTAACTGCATCAGACGAGGGCTGCTTTACAGCTGAGGCCGTGAGAAGAGACAGCAGGGCCCTCACTGATCTGTAGGTTAGGACTGGGGCAAAGAGCGTCCATCTCACGGGCGTCAGAGCGTCCATCTCACAGGCGTCGCCTGCAAGAAAAGTGCCCCTCTGCGTCGCTCTTGCCTGGCTGGTTGAGGTACTTCCTCAACTAATCTGCATGAGGAGTATGATGTCTTGGTTCTAAAGAGCCGCCAAGCTCACAAAGCTGCCCACTGTGTGGGGTCTGTCATCTAGACAAGCACTGCAGGGACTGAAAAGGGCGCGTCCAGCAAAACCCTTGCATTAACACGGTGGCTGGGTGAGGGTTTGATGGCTAGGAGGGCAGGAAGTCGTTTGCACCATCAGGATCCATTGTCCTGGGACCAACCACAGCTCAGAGAGAAAGAGAAGCCCAGTTTGCCATGAGCCTCTCCCAGCAGCTGTGTGCCAAAGACTAGGCGGGGAGCCAGAGGAGGCAAAGTGTTCTGGGTAGAAAGATGCTGTGTTATGAAGGGGACAGAAAGATGGGGAGACCCCCCAATGGTGAGGAACTCTGGGCCAGGCAGACCCAGCTTCCTCTCCAGGTGAAATTTGTGGGGGTCAGGAGATGAACAGATGAGGATCCCAGCCCGTGTCTCATTCCAGCTCTTGTCCTTGGCTTATGATTTTCCAGGAGTCAGCCAGACCAGATCTACTCCCTAGGCATTCTTCAGGCCCTGGTAGGCTCTGCTGGATGTCATTGGAAGCTGAGGCCATCCTGGCCAGTCTTGGATCTGTGGTACCAGGTGAGAGGACAGAGAGGTGAGACTCGGGGGTCTCTGTGGGTCCGGAGTCCCACAACTTCCTGAGGACCCCCAGATGGAGTGTTTTTGGTTTGGCCTTTTGCTTTTCTGTAGACTGAATCTTTCCAATGGCTGGAAAGAGGATTTGCTGAAACGTCTGGACCCTGAAGAGGAAACCAAGCTCTGAGAACAGCATATCTTTCCAGAGCATACCACTTCAATACCAAAAGTCAGATAACTGGTAAGCGATACGGAGCGTAAGAGGGGAGGGTCTGCACATGGCTTGCTGTATTACATCTTTAAAGCAACCTAGAAGCCAAGTGTTTTCCCATGATCTACAGGCTCAGAGAGGTCAAGGGACATGTCCCAGGGTCACATGACTGGAAAAGGGAGGAAATGGGTCGACGGGTGATGCTGACCTGATGCTTTCACACAGTAATAGTGTTCTGCTTCCTCCTGGGTGTTGACAGAGGCACACCCATGAGTGGAGTCTCACTGGTTTCTGGCAGGCTGGGAGGGAATTGGGAGGCTGACATGGCTTCCTCTGTCTCCTACAGGGCTCAGGGAAGCTGAGCAAGAAGGTCTCACTGTCCCTCTTGATCACTGGTATTTGAGACCCAGAAGTCTCCCATGGCTCCTTATCATATCCGTCAGTACCAGAACAGTGACCACAAAAGGGTCCTGGACTTGTTCTCCAGGGGCATGGAAGAGAATGTCCCTGCTGCCTTCCGCCATATGCTAGCAGTGCCCCAGACTCTCCTGTCCTTATTTGGGGTGCTTGTGACCATAGTTCTCGTATGTGGCTCCTGGCTCCTGGCCACAGCATGCAGCCTCCTCATACTCCTTTGCCTGTGGCTCCTTGTCTGGCTTTCTTGGAGAAAGTATGTGGCTACATGTTTGCAAACAGACCTGGCTGACATCACCAAGTCCTACCTGAATGCACATGGCTCCTTCTGGGTGGCTGAGTCTGGGGACCAGGTGGTGGGCATAGTGGGGTGCCTGCCAGTCAAGGATCCCTCACTGGGGAGGAAGCAGCTACAGCTCTTTCGCCTGTCTGTGTCCTCACAGCATCGAGGACAGGGCATAGCGAAAGCACTGGTCAGAACTGTCCTCCAGTTTGCACGGGGCCAGGGCTACAGCGACGTTGTCCTTGAGACCAGCATTGTGCAGTACAGTGCTTTGGCTCTCTACCGGGCCATGGGCTTCCAGAAGACAGATGAGTACTTCGTCAGTGCAATCACGAGGTTGATGGCTCTTTCTGTCCTTCGTTTCACTTACTCTCTCCCTATTGCTTGGGAACCGGGGATGTGACCATTCTTTGTCCGTCTGTGGGGCTCCAGTTCACTCTGCTGTAGGAACAAGCAAACCCTGCTCTTTTACAAATGCCAGTCACGGAGCTCATGTTTCATTCCTTCAGATCCAGCCTTGCTGGTGGGGAGTTGTGGGTTTTAAGTGGCACCCTTTCATCTTTCTAGTGCTGAAGTAGTATAGCACAGAACCCACCCTGAGCTGACACTGCATTCATTTCATGTGTGACTCTGTAACTATCAGTTTCAGATAGGTGGTCTCACAAGTTCCAGCAGCCCAGTCAGGATGTAGGATCTTTGCAGAGGGGCCAAAGTGAACACAGAAAGGAGCCACCTTTGTGCCAAGGGGAGGAAGATGACCTCTGATGCAGTGAGAACAATTTTGAATGGCCTTCAAAACATTTTGTTCATACCCATAGGTGACTGCTGCACTGTCCTCAGTTGCGAGGGGAGACTTCTCAGTGGGTGGTGGTTAAATCAGAAACTCATAACTTGTCATCTTGTAGTTGTTTAGCAGAGTCACTGTATTAGGGGTAGACATTAGAATGAACAGCTGTTTTCTAGAAGTACTTTGACCTTGAAGAATCATGTGGTAAACAGTAAAGAATCTTGGTGGCAAACAGTGATTGTCTTCCGTGATTTGTAGAATCGTTTTGCAGCCTTCCTGTGACTTTGGTCACAGGACTCCTCAGGCATACCTGATGCTCTTGTTTTATTGTGTATTGCAAACAATCCATAATAATGGACTAAAGTTATGAGGGTATGTGACACTGTCCTTAGTAAGATATGTAAATTAGATGAGGGGCCTTGGTATGAGGAAATACTTTGGGTAATGATCAACAAGTACATCTTTTTATGGCTGTTTGGGTTCAGTCCATCAGAGAGGCTGGACCTTCCTGCTGCCACGTAGGCCCTAAAATTTCATCTTGGAGTGCCTTCTTTCATCAACCGACCCAAGCTACACAGACCACCCTGACATTTTTTTATTTTATTTATTTATTTATTTATTTTGGTTTTTCGAGACAGGGTTTCCCTGTGTAGCTTTGGAGGCTGTTCTGGAACTAGCTCTGTAGACCAGGCTGACCTCGAACTCACAGAGATCCGCCTGCCTCTGCCTCCTGAGTGCTGGGATTAAAGGCGTGCTCCACCAACGCCCGGCTCGACATTTTTTTATTTTTTATTAGGCAAGTATAATGTGTCAAGTTGCCTTCAAAACATTTGTGTTTATACCTATATATGACTTCTGTGCTAGCCTCAGTCGTGAAGGGAGACCTTTCACAGTGGGTGGTGGTTACATCAGAAACTGGTAACTTGTCAAGTTGCTGAGAATAGGTGACTGTTCCTATGAGTCATAGTGGAAGAAGCTAGATGTGTATATCATCTGCTCCAAGGCTTAGGAGAGCTGCGGAAGAGGCCACATAAAGATTTCAGATGTGGAGTGGGTGTGTAGTGACCATTTTAGCAGCCATGACAGGCTAACATGTGCTTGCATGACCTTGCCGCTCCTGTCCTGGTCACTAAGGTCAGATGCCCTCCTCGTGGCAAGGAACCAATCAGAAGTTAGCTGGCGGGGCTGTGCTTTACGACTCTGGGTGTGTTTTACCGACAGTGCACAACAGTGACGTGCAGAACATAGCAATCGCCCTGGGAGGGCCTATGTGTCATAACAACCAGTTGACCAATCAACACAGGGTGGGTTACCCAAACCTGGAAGTGCACCAATCCTGAGACTGTTTCATACCCCTAGACACTCCCCTTACGCTGCCCTTTAAGGTCCCTGCCTCGAGGTTGCTCAGGGTCTTTCTCCAGCCATTTGCCATGGTGGCAGGGTGAAGGGCCCGAGCTAATGGGGTTATTAGCTCGTTAAACATCTACAATAAAAGACTCTTTGCTTTTGCATCGAAATGGGTCTCTTGGTGATTTTGGGGTTCAGAATTTGGGCACAACAGGTGGCATGTTTGGTCTGAATTGAAACACCCTCCCACGGAGGACTGACAGAAGCTTGGGAGACTCCGGAAAGGGCCCTCACGAGCTCTCCCTGAAGTCGCCTCAGTAGTAAACATTTCCTAGCAGAGAGAAGACTCTTAGGAACTCCAGTGTTGCAGATTTATGTGTCATTACCCATGCAATGGTGGGCTTTCAACTGATGCAGCTGCCTGGGTCCCCTATGCTCCATTGCAATCCCTCACCCATGTTCCTGCAAGTGACTTCAGTAAACTGGTTCATCAAACCCAAAGTGGGTAGCATCGTCTCTGTGGTCTGTCCTGGTGCCCTGTATAGTGCGAATAGATGTCTGTTTACACAAAACACTAACATAGGGACAAAAGGATGCTTTTACTCTCCTCTTGTGCCCACTTGAGTAAGCCATTCCTCATGCAAATGACAGGAACAGAGAGGCCAAGTAGGTCCAGGATGGAAAGACTGCCACGGTAGGTAATCAGCAAGTTTTGGCACGTAGGAAAGCTGTGCGACTCTCCAACCCATCCTGGGGATCTCTCTTGCTCAGAGACTCTGATCCTGGAAACATAGCACCAGAGCTGCCCGTCCCCGCCCTTCCTCTCCAGACATGGCAGCAGCTCAAGGACAGTAAAATTTGCTGGCAGCATCTGAACATGCTACAATGATGGCCACTGACATTCTTCTACTCTCCTGCTGCCCCCCCCCCGCCATTATCATTTTGGGTTCAGCAACTACACTTCAGCTGAGAGAAAAGGATGGCCTATGAGCAAAGAAGAAACTTGTCTTATTGGTATTCTGGCTGCCATAGAGAGTTATTTGTTTGCTCCAGGACCTGTGTTCCCCATGGGGTGGTGGGAGGGAATATCAGCTGCCATGTTGCCTGCTAAATAGAAAAGGGGACATGGAGCTCCTTACACCCTCATGGCTAATAGCAGCACTTAAATGTTCATCCTGAACAGTGCCTTGAGCAGGTGCCAAGGAGCCTTCTACAGGAGGAAGGGAAGGAATGCCCTCAGTGTTCTTGAACCAACTTCACACAAGGCTTCTCCATCTCCTCCTGAAGGATGTAGGAATGGGGCCATTCTGTGCTGATGGCTGCATATCTGTGTGCACAGGATTGACATCACTAAGTCAGAGTGGGCTAAGACGAGAAGGAAGACTTGTTGAGTTGTAGTTGAGCACTGGTGAAATAGACTTGGGAAGCACACGTGATAAATAGGAAATTGTGCCATGAGATCTGAGCCAAAATGCAAGTTAATGTGGTAAAATGGAGGTGGCCAGGGTTTGGGGAGACAGAAGCAGGAAGCTCTGGTTTCTGGAGCTGAAGTTGCTCCTTGGGCTGCTGGGAATGCTTGGGATTTGAGACATATGGTTACGGCACAACACTTTTGATGGACTAAAGGCCGTAGAATCTTACAGTGTAACCGTGTACCTTACATCTAAAAAAAAAAAAAGATGTAGACCCATTTGGAAATGTCTAAACTCAGAGGTATGATCTCAAAGGTTAGAAAGAGCAAAGTGTCGGTGGGGTTTTCTTAACAATGGAGTAGCTGCGGCCACTTTGGCTCTGACTGAATGAATCCACTCCCACCGCCTCAGGAACAGGTGAAGACACAAATGGAGGCACCAGGCTGAGAAGACTAATCTCTTTTAATATAAAACATCTGATTTTCTCAACAGAATCTCTGTCCTCGGCATATGTCTTAGGCTTATGGAGCGGGGCATTCAGGAGAGCAACTTACAAACTCAAACCTGGTTCACTGGGAGAACCAGTGCAAGGCTGACAGGGGCCTGAGCTTAAAGGCTGTAGCTGGACGTGGGTGGTTGAGTAAATCAGGGAGAATTGTGTCCCCTCACTGAGGCATGAAAACCCACTGAGCCTGTTCCTCATATAAATTGTGTCGTTTATTTTAGTACCAATTATTTTGTTCAGTCCTGGGTATCCCTTGGAGTTCAACTGCAAGTTTCTACCAATGGACACAGACTCAAGGCTGAACTGAAGGACTAAGGAAGGGAAGTGCAAGAGCCAGTTCTCACCCATGTGTAGATGTCCTTGACACTTGTATTATGTACTTTAAAATGGTTGTAGGACCGGCAAGATGGCTCAGCAGGAAAAGGCCTTTGTGGCAAAGCCTAGTGACCTGAGTTCAATTTCCAGGACCTGCATGGTGGAAGGAGTTTTCCAGCAAGTTATTCTCTGACCACCATATACATATCACATACACACACACACACACACACACACACACACACGTAAATGTAATACACTTTAAAAAATATAATAGACAACCAAACAACAACAACAACAACAAAAACGGTCGTGCAGTCAACTCCAGGTATTTTGTGCAAGTTCTAAGAGTCAGTGCTGTCATTTTCATCAGTCTCTAACCAAATAAATTAATGGAGAAAACTGGTTGGTTCTGACTAAAAGAGCTCATGGATGAGTATCCTAAAGCAGGATGTAATCAACAAGGACCCTTCAAAAGCCACACCCTGCACAGTGAATTCCTCTGCCAGGCCACCTGCCAATGACTGCTAGTTCAAGGTAGGAGTGGCCATGTTCTGATAGTTGAACTTGAGCATGCTTAGATCTTACAGTTTGTGATCAAGGACATCTGATTCTCTAGATCTTATGTAACCATCCCCATGCTCCTTAAAACCTCCCTTGGGGCTGGAGAGATGGCCAAGTTGTTACTGCTGCCAGCATCCATGAATTCAAAGACACTTTGTATTTCTATCTGTGGGAATAGACCTCTCAGATTAAACTTAACAGGGCCCACGGGGCCCCTCTCTAGGGCTACATAAGTAATAAACCGTTGTTGAGGATGGTGAGCTGTGATGGAGCTACTGGCCTGTTGTTCAGGGACGTCCAATGATGCAGCTTTTATAAATCATTTTCTGTGCTGATGTGGGCGCCTGTAAGAAAACTCAATTAATTCTGGCTCCTCCTGTGATATGTAGTCACAGTCCTCACAAAACGTGCAGATGGCTGAGTTGGCAAGTGCTTCCTGCACAAACATGAAGACCTGAGCTCAGCCATGTATTCATATAAAAAAGCACTGCAGCACATAACTATAATGCCAGCGCTGGGGAAATGGAAACAGGCAGATCCCTGAAGCATAGGAGCCACTCAGTCTAGCCAGTCAGTGAGTGAGAAACATTGTCTCAACAAAGTGGAGAAGTGACTAAAGAATACATCCAGTATGGACTCCTGGCCTCTACACATACACTTCTACAGATGAGTGTACACACACACACACACACACACACACACACACACACACACACACACACACGTATGTATGGGCTTATTTCCAAGACTCCTGGGGTTGATAATACCTATAACCAGAGTGCCCTAGTATCCACAGCCAGAGAGAATGCGTGCTACATAGTGTACATGTGTGGCTTTGGGAAGAAACTTTGACAAAAGCAGGACCCTGGGATCCAAATATTCTGAGTCCTGCTGCTCAGCTGTCTTGTGGAATTAAACACAACAAAGAGAAAGACAGAGAAGGATTGTTAAAGTGATGGGTGCTCAGAAAGAATGAAGAAACTGTCAAACGCCAATGAATTTTTCATTGACTACTGAAATAAGGGAGATAGTTTGTGAAGGGGAACCGCCTTCTTCTGGACCCCAGGTTAAGCAGAACTACATCCAAAC